TTCTTGATCAAAATGTTCTGAGGTGTCTCTTTGCACGACAACTTTCCCTCTCTTTTGAAAATATTTTTGTTTTTGTTTATGAGATTTTTGGCGTGCCAAACTCGCTAATTATCTGTTCCTGTAGCTGTGAACAAGATGACGTAAATTTCCTGATTCGAACCCCTTGACTAACTAATTAATGATAATTTTCGAAATTGAGACGCTACTTAGTTTGTCAGTTGTCATTTTAGCTGATTGATTCAAATTTACTGAATAATCTGCTGATATTTATCCTCAATATTGCTTCTTTTTGAGAAACAACCAGGAACGCTGTAACATATCATGTTTCCAGCAACCGCCTTTGTCGTTAAATAACCTCCACTGACGATTTTTTTTCCTATCTCGGTGGAAGGTTTATGCAGTCATCATTATATATTATTTCAACTTTTATCTTACATGGCCATCTCTTTTCAATCTTCGAAGTCCACCAGAGCCTGAGCACCTTAATTACAGAACTAACCTCTTTACCACGGTCGGTTAATGAACGGAAAGAAAGAAGCTAAATAAAGAATAAAAATGCTCTCTTCACATCGTAAAAGTCTACTAAAGAGCACCCTAATCATCAAACTAACCTCTCTACAACAGCCGGTTGAGAGAGAATGAAACGGACGAGTTCTCTTGGTTTAGAGATATCTCCCCCACCATTTCTGATGCTTTTCATCGAACAACACACCAACCAATGGAAGAAGCAGGTCAAAGATAGTCTTTTCATCAGCGTAGGCTTAGATGTTCGCGAATATTTAGAAATCGGAATGTATTTGCTTTAACGGATTTGCGAGCCCGAGAAGAAAAATTCGGTGTCGTGGGAGATCGTACGCGAATCAATCTTCGAGCGACGAAAATTATGCAAATCAGTCGACCCCCAGCGGACTCTGGCACCTTAAACAGTGGCTCTTCAGAATCCGATAACCATGAAGCAGGCACAGATTCAGCATGGAGAAAAAACAAAAAACAAAAAACAAAAAAAGAAAAACAACAACAACAACGAATGAGGCCCTCCTAATCCATTTTGACAGTAGACAGCTTGCAAAACAAATTTGATGAGCTAAACGGCATCAATGATGATCAACTAACATCACACATTATTTCTGAAGCCAAAATTGATAAATCATATCAAAACGACCAATTCAAATTACCTGGGTACTACATGCATCGTCGAGACAGGAAAAAAGGAAGGTGGCAGGCTTCAAGCCTACCTCCACTCCGATCTACCCTCAAAAGAGCTCAAACTACCCAAGAAATATAAAACAATAGGAGCGCCGGCTATTGAAGCAAGACTTGACAACCAGGACGTGATCTTCATAGGCATCTATAGTTCACCAAAAATACGTGTTATGCAGGCTGAGTATATCAACATCTAGCAATGGTTTAGGATGAACTGAATGATATTTACATGCGGGGAGCTCTTAGGAAGGAAGCCATCATAACTACTGGTGAGCTATGTTTAGATAGATTACGACCCAATTGTTGGAAGGATAAATTCTGCTCGATCTTGAGGAAGTATACGACTTACAGTGCTTGATCACACAACCATCAAAGATAGCTAAAACATCGGAAGCATTGATAGATGTGATTTTAATAACAAAGCTAGCTATCTTAAACACTGTGGCATCATCTTATCTACGGCCTGTTAACAAAAGCGCTGTATCAACACAAGCGGAAGATCATAACATCTAGGAGCCTTAAAAAAATGTTGACACGGACTTGCTGAATGAAAATCTTGCCACTGTCTTGTGAAGTGTTGGAGAGATTTTTGAGTCACCTGATGATCAATGTGACTTCTGGTTTGCTTTGCTTGAAAGTGTTCTAGACGAGCATGTTCCGAGAAAAAAAATTAAAGTCAGGGGCTAGAGGTGCCCTGTATGATTAATAAGTGGAAAAGAGTCATGAAAAAAAAAAAGAAAGTATGCACAAATATACACCCGGAATCGTTCACCTGAAACTTGGAAATTAAAATGAAAGTGGAGAAACATCGCCACAAGGGAGAGGAGAAAAGCTACTAAGAAACTTTTGGGTACAGGAGTCCAGTGAAGTAAAAACGTGGCCAAGTGACTTTCATAAAACCTTCAACCCATTTTTCAAACTCAAAAAGTAGAGATACGACAGACATTTCTGAACGGATCAATGACAGCATAATTAGCGACCAAAGAAATGTGGCGGAAGTATTTGGAGATTTCTTCTCAACAACGGCAAACGAAACTGGAGGCCAGCATGTCCTACAAAACGGCGAAGAAGACTTCAACACGCATGTAAGAGTAGAAGCAATTTGCCATTCTTCAGTTCCTATCACAGTGTTCACTTTGAATTCAACAAGATAGACTCTCGTACAGTCGAAAAAGAGTTAAAGAAGCTAAACACCCATAACGCCAAGGGATAGTACGCAGTCTCCCATAAAATTCTGAAGCTAATGGCCGTAAACCTTGCGTAACTGGTAGAAGGGAGTCTGGACTCCAGTTTTCAAAAAGGAAGATGGGGTTGATTGTGCCTATTACAGGCCAGTAACAGTTCTGAGCGCAGTAGCGAAAGTGTTCGAATCACTACTCAGCAAACAAATCACAGAGAGAATGGATACTCATTTATACTATTAGAAAAAATATATTATGGTGAATTGTCCGCTTACAGGAAAACGCACAGCTGCGAGACCAACCTGATCCGAGTAACGCAGGACTAGAGAAAAGCAATGGATAACAAGGAATGCGTAACGGTTTTGTTACGGACATGAGAGAGGCATATGATTTGACTCGTTGCATTATATGTTAATGATTAGGAAACTTGAAGCCTACGGATTCTATGATGTGTTCTTAGAACTAATGGGCTCCTATTTTATCGAGCAAAAAACCGCGTTGAAGTTAACAATGACGACAAACACATGGAAAGATCAGTTAAGGGGTTGCTCGTAAGGTTCACCACTCGGTCCTTTGCTAAAGGACTCGTTTCAAAGTGACTTATCTCTGAACGTACAAACCAGTAACTTGTTCATGTACGCCGATGACCATCAGGTTTATCAAATGGGATCTAATATCAAGGCCGTAATCTCTCAACCCACAAAGGAGGCGGAATACACATCACATTGTTACATTGTTATAAGGCAAATCTTCTCCCCGCCAATTTAAAGATGTGCCAAGTTTTAGCAATGACGCCTCGTACCATTGACGGGGAAGCAAAAGATGAGTGTACCCTTGACATCGATAATCAAAAACTCATACCAACAGCTAATCTAAAAATTCTTTGAGTAAACATAGACGATCAGCTCAGTTCAGTTTCATTGAAAATTTCAACTACATCTGTAAAATAACGAGTAAGAAAATTAAGGGTGCTAGCAAGACTGCGCAATCGAATCTCATGCAAGTCCAAGCTTCAACTGTAACCAACAGTAATTTTTTCTTACCTAACGTATTTCCAATCAATATGACATTTTCGTAAGCAATCTTAGGAAAGAAAGCTGGAGAGGCTGCAAGAAAGCGCTTTAAGAGCAGTTTACAACCGTTAGACAGACACTTCAAACGAAGAGCTTCTACGCAGTGTCTTCTCTCTTCAACAGGAGGCTTCAAGGGATTGTAATTTTAATTGACATCGTTAGAAATGATTTGGCCCTCGACTAGATAGGTGAACTTTTGCATACAAAGGATACTCCATAAAAAAATGCAGATTTTGATATGCCTCACTACTCAACAGTAAGATATCGGAAAAACTCTATTCAGTAGCACCTGGGCCCATACCTTTGGTTCAGACTACCTTCAAGACATCGACAGCGGCCCTCGGGGGAAAATTTTTTTAGATGAAACATCAGAAAGAAAGACTAACCTTCATTTATTGAGTGCACGCGCTCTAACTCTAACTTATGTATCAACTAACCACGTTTGCAACGGAATTTGACCTTTTTTGAACAAAATAATGATAAGTCGTGCACATTTCAAATGTCAGTTTTTCTTGGAAATAAGCGATATCAAATTTATAAATAGTGCAGATTTTTTTTTCAAATTTTTATTATGGACCTTCCCTGTTTTTAAATTTTAAAATAAATTTTTAACACCCGTAGCATCCCTGCTTTCAATTTTGTTTCTTTCGTATTTGGAATGTTCTTTTAGTGTCCACAATCAGCTAATATATAGTTAAACACTCTGCCACTTGAATAAAGTTCATTCACTCATTCATTTATTCATTTCCATAGAAAATGATGAATATGAAGTTTCTTTTGTCCTTCAATCTGGCAATCCTGCTTTAATATCTATGTACTAGTAGATGGTCTTTTTATCTTTTAAAAAAGTTTAGGGGGCGCTCATTTAATGAACTTTGTGTCTTTTTCGCAGAGGAAAAATAAAAGTCAACTTCAATGGCCTACAAAAAGGTATGCCATATAAATTTAAAAATCACGAGAAACATCATATTAAAGCTTTATTCTTATAGTTTATTCCTCCATGTCTTTATCTTGGCCCGCCTTCAGCGGCGTGTTTAGGTTGAAAAGAGCTCGGGATCTTATGACTCATGTGTCACGGTCTATTCATATGCCTATAAAGTGGTTTATTTACGAATCAAAATATACATCATCTTAGAGTTTTATCCTTGTATTCTAATTCCATAAAGTGTCTTTATTGGCCCTCTATAAACAATGCGTTTAGCTTGAAGATAGTTAAGGTTAAAATGATAAAAAATGCAATGCAATCCGTTGAACTGCTGTCACGCAAGAGGCCGTGTCTTGGCCAGGAATGTACTTAGTACATGGAACCTTTTTAAATAATTTTAGGAAAAGTTCATCGAAAGGGTCCTTTAAGAAAAATAAAATGAATTACGAAATTTTGAAACTGTTAGCGGATTCTCGATATTTATGGTCAGTGGCTCTTAAAGATTCAAAATTCATGGTCAGAGGCTCTTAAAAATTCATAACACCAGATGACGTCACCCCAAACAGTCACCTGACCTATTTTCCTAGACGAATGCATTAACCGAGGAAAATTGTTCGTTTCATTTACGTCATATATTCAGGATTGGGGTCTTTGAAGCTTTCACTGATATTTTTTTCGCCCTTTGCACTCCTACTTCGCACTTTAAGGTAAGAGGAAATGTTTCAATGCCAAGAGAGTTAGTTCTCTTTCACACAGTTTATAATTTTCGAGCAAGGCCAAAATCCATTTCCGCTTTTATCAAATCGGGAGCAAAGGCTCGTTTGCTAAACCGCTGTGATTGTCGCCAAAATAAGATGAAAAGGATCCCAAACTGCCATATTGATATTTCAGAGATGTTCTCGAGTATATCTTGGTGCTGTTTGATAATTCTATTCCGCACGCTGCATCGCAAACACCTGATCATGTTCGGTTAAGTGACTAGTTTCAAGTCACACTTACCAGCTGCCTTATAGCTCGTCTTGGACACAGCTGTTTGCTGTGAGAACTAAAGTTACCTTAAGTCTTTGTATGTAGTGGATCACATCTCCTTTCCAAAAGCACGGACCTTTGATCGAAAATCATCGAGTAAAGATGACTATCGCGTTTCTCGATAAGTCAGTGACATCACGCGGCAAATGTTGGACAGATAACTTCTTCTTTAGGTCGAAGAAACACTCAATAATAGGAATTGATTTGGAAGTGGATGAAATTTATCTTCTAAAGTTTTGGTGAAAGCATCTGGCTCCTCTCTTGTACCCCTTGCTATATTTTGGAGAAAAAAAATTCCAATTTAGTGCATGGCGAATAGACCAGTCCGTCAAGATTGAATACTCAGGCAAAACAATTAGAAAACGACGTTTCATGGCGCTCAAAGAATTAGGACAGGCTGGAGAGAGATTATGTTTTGACCGAGAAGCTTAATTGAACTATTTGCAGGGAGATTTGAAAGGTATCCTTTTCGAGAAAATATGTAATGACAAAACATATTTTCATTTTACAATCCTTAACTTGCGTGAGTTACCATGGTTCCCAATTGCCAATTGTCACGCGAAAGGACGTCATTTCCGACAGTCACCTGACTTCACTTTTCAAGGGAGATAATCACAGAGAATACCTCGCTGTTCTATTCTTGGCTTTCACGTGTTGTCATCGAAATAAAAAAAAAAGGAATTATGAGTCCTTTGAGATTTTAGTTTAGTTAGTTATAAGAACAGCTGAAGACTCATCTTTCGAGAATTTTCAGTTCAATAGGGTTTTTCGTCTTGTGATAGAGCGAGGTTGAATTTCGAAGCTTTTGCGTGACACGATATTAAAATGGCGGCCGAAAAGGCTGTCCCGTAGGTTAAAAAAAGAGGATTCATCCGCTGAGATTTTGCAATCTGAACGAACCTTGTATGAAAATATGTACTTATACAGATGTTTATGAGCCCTCAGTAGACTGCTACAAGCTTTTACTGCAAAACCCGGTAATATGTGTTTTTGTTACCTTCCGGCCGCCATGTCTGTGCCCCTCAGAGAGACACTGACATGGCGTCTCCTTACAAAGCCCAAAAAATTTGAGTTGAATATTTCATAGCCAGAAATTCCGAACCAAAGTGGGTGGTGCTTATTTCTGATACGCGCCAGCACACATGTTAGCCTGTCAATAAAGCTAGCATGTGATTGGCCCATCTCTTAAAGCGGAAAGCCGTTGTTAAACCAAAATGGCGTCGCGCGATGGACCGTTGAAAGGCTACTTCTCGATGTTACATTCGATTTCATCTGCGGATGCCGACTTCGGCCAGCCAAAAAATATTGTGAGCAGAAGATCATCTTATTGGATAGTTGGAAGGCTCGTTGAAAGACGGGAAAGAAAAGGAACGGTAAGTGTTTGGTTGTAGTGCCTGTTTTCGAATGTGCTCGCTTGGTTGATATATCTTTTTACTAAATTCAGTGTTTACCTGAAATCAGCACGGGCTTTTTTTACCTTTCATTTAATTAGGTAGAATATGTGGTGCAACGGAAGGACTACTCGCCCTACGAAGCCTCCTGGGAGCCAGAGGAGGGCATCTTACCTCGATGTGTGGAGTTATTTAACAGGCCAAGCCCGGACGTGGCAATTGTTCAAGAAAATGTTTGTTCTTTAAGGGTAGCCGTCGAACGGCACTTGAAGTCGCCGTCACGTTCGCCTGTAAGGTTGTTTTTTCGGGGGGGATGTTTATCGTTTCTTGTTTACTGGTAAGGGAGTGACGAGGGAGGGATGGACATTTTTGAGAAAGATGATTTTAATCCTGTTTATTTTCCTCTTGGGTGGGATTCCTGGTGGACTCTCATGGCCAAGGAATGAAGGTTTTTTACCCTTTGAGGGTTAAAACGTTCATTTCTTGGTCTCCAAAGAAGTATGAAATGGGTACAGATGGGATTCCTGCTTTGTTACCAAGAGCATATCGGGAGAGTATTTCTTTTAATTCTTCCAAAGTAGCTCTAAATGATTGAATCATGAAGGGCTACTTTAGCAAAATTGTTAATGGTAATAAAATTAACAATAAGCGGAGTGTAATTTGGTCTGTAATCATACACACGAGTTCAAATAAATAAAAATATTCTCCTGATATGCTTCTTTCATATCAAATAAAAAAATTATAAGACTTTTGCATGCAGGGCTATTTAAGTCTGAGTCAGTGGAAAATGTGTTATACAAGGTTTGAGATGTATATGCCAAGTTTAAATGGTAGGAACATTCAACTGCAAATGTGCATTCATCTTTATAAGTGTGTAAAACTTTGCCACAAGTGTTCATTCATTCATTCAGTGTGCATACATCTCTGTAAGTGAACATTCAACTCTGTAAATTGTAACATAGTCATTGTAATTAAATACATACCTGTAAACTTTGTAAGAGTGCATACATCTTTATAAGTGTATCTACATCTTTTTAAGTGTACATTCAACTCTGTAAATTTTAACTTTGTTGGCTTTGTACATCAATCTGTGTAAGTCCACAGTCAAATCTGTTTAAGACACATTGCTTTGTACATAAACATTTATCTTTGTATACATACCTTTCACCTACCACAGTATGTGTACTTTGAACATTGAATGCAAATGTAAAAATTGTATGTGCAAAATTAAAGTATTTTATTTCTTTCCCTTTTGTTTGGGTTTTTGTTGCTTTTCTTTAGATATTTTAGCTCTTTTAGATACTTCTTTAGTAGGGGAGACTGCTGATTGAGTTATATTCTTTAAGTAGCTGATTCCGCATTTTGTTTTTATAAGTTCATCCCAGTATTCCTTGGCCCTTTTTGTGTATTTACAGTGCTGTCGCTCTCTGTGCTTCAGAGCTTCCAATCTGTATTCAGTGCATATCACCTTAGCTAGATCATCATTGTGATTGCTCTTCCTTTGTATGATGCATTGCGCATGGTCAATGTTTTTTTCAACCACTGAAACAGTAAGTTGCAACAAAGAGTAACATGATGTCACACAAATATGTAATCACACCTTAATTTCAAGGCTGGTTAAACAACTGCCTGGTGTAGTAAACAGTTTTTCAAGAATTTTTACCTTGACCACTGAACTGTTTTACATTGTTATTTTTTGTACCATTTGGGTAACATGATATGCTCCTGCATGCATGTAACAGGTGACTTGCTCTTTTCTGTAGCGTATTCCTGTCTCCCCAAGGTCAGTAAAACTAGTGATCCACATTTTTGTCTGTGGATTTTAAAACACATGTACACATCATCAATTAGAAATACATAAAGTTTCAAGTCATAGTGGGATTGTTTTGTACCTGTGCTTGAAATAGTACTGTAGAGAATGGCTCCCATAATGAAATGTAGTTGAAGTACAGATCTTCAAAAGTCTTAAAGACAGAACATCAAGACTAGAAATATTCAGAAAAGTGAAAACAGCAAATTGCCTAACTTTTCATTAAATTAGGAGGTAATAATTGATAAGGATGAATTGATTACTTGGACTGTGATGTTATCTTAATTGAATACTTTATGAATAGAGAAATTGCATAGACTTTTAAACTGTACCTACCTTCCATAATTGAACTACCATGTGGCATGTGTTTTTTTGCAAACAGTTGTAACTGGCAAGCCTCTTGGGAAGCTCTCTCAAGAGCTTCTTCCTGTCGTCTCCCATGAGGCTTGTCCAATCCAAGGTTCCACTACCCTTGCTGTCAGCATTTCTCCTCTCCCAAATTAAAAAGTGACACCACAGTTGTTTATTGCTGCTGTTAGGTTTTGGATAACTCCTGATTTTTCTAAAGATCTTTTTGTGGTAAAGAGCACTCCTTGTCATCTCACTGCATTACATCTTCGATTAAGTTTTCTATCAGAATATCTGTGATTCTCAACATCTCCAACACCAAATTTATCCATTAAAAAGAGTATGCTCTCCACTGTGTTTTTGTCATCAGAGTGAAGTTTTACATACCTTGATTTTGGGGATGCCACACTACCATGTTTTTGCTGCGGATTGGGATGGCCCGGTTTGTAGCTGATAAGTCTATAGAAAAGCTATCAGTGCTGTTAAGATCTTTAAATTTTAAAAGCTGCAAATCCAGGCCAAATGTTTCAACAAAATTAAGTGTCTTATGGGCTC